TCAAACAATTCAGAAATTAAGGACACTATTTTGCAGCAAAGCTCATTTTTCTCAAAAAATAAATCGAAAATGAAAAATCGTGCTCTGTTAAGTTGTCTGGACGCAGCTTCCTTTTCAATTAAACACCTGCCAGAGTTTGATACGATGTAAAATAGTTGAAAATTCTGTTACGCGTGATGAGAAACAAATGTGAAAATCGATTTCGAGAAAACTGTAAAATTATTTTTGACATTAAAAGGTAGTTATTTCTGGTAAGGCTGTACAAGCAACTCTACGCCCACGATGGGTAAGGGCGTTTGGCGCCACAATCATGCAGGGTAGGGTAGGTTAAGGGTGCCAATAATAAGGGCACAACCTATCTTCATCTTCTATCGGTTCCATGATGTGAGAGCATTCAGTCGCTATGCGGCTAGACGCTCTGAACTCTTGAATGATAATAGATGCCTGTTCACAGTATCCTCTAGTCGCTTTTTTCTCTATTATCATGTCTCTCTCCTTGCTCGTTCCCTCTCTCGTACATTATAAGCTCATGTTCTATGTGAAGCAAACACAACTAGAGTGATGGAGTAGTGTAGTGAACATCTATGCCGAGGATATCGGTATCGCTACTCCTTCAGTTTGTCAATGTTGATCATAATAAAATGAACACTGCCTTGGTAACGAAATAGATCTTCCCTCTCCTCATTTTTCGTTACATTAAAAGGGATACAAAAACTTTTTAGGGTGGAATGAAGGTGCTTATCATATTGCTTACAGTCTTGTGGCAAGCAAACTTCGAAGATACTCTTGACACCTTTCTGGTTTATAAGAAGTCGATTGCTATGTTAAACAGAAATTAAGTTTTAGTAAAGAAGAATCAGTGTTGGACTGGTGGGACAAATGGCCATTGAACATCCACATCGTAGTTTATTGGAAAAATGCCATTGGGAGTTCCTGCAAGTTCAATCACAAGTGAACATATTTTCAGTGCAAGCAGAAGAGTTTAGGAAGAGAGAAGGCAGAATTAGGTGGCAACATTGTTCAAGACATTTTATTCTGACAAAACTTTTGAAATATTTGATAATTTTGTATTTGATTATCGTTGAAAATCAATAAAATATACTGGAACATAGTGAAAGAATCTTCATTCTTACATATGCCAAAACCTGGAAATCTTAGGGTAGGATAGACGAAGGGTACGAAAATTGCTGTAGGGTAGGGTATAGGGTACGAATAAGTCTTACCTTGCAAGACTCTGTTTGGCGCCCATTTGCCTGCACATACTAATGAGATTATAATCTCTATTTTGAAGATTTAGAGAGGATTTTAACTGGCTTTTACAACTGAGATTCCCAAAGCACCTCTCAGATGATGGATTTTTCAAAAAAATCTGTTTAAAACTCGCATACACGACGTGAAACTAGTGGGCCACAAAGAATTTGAAAGGAGACAACACGAGCTATTCACACATGTGTAAATCTAAAAAATATCAGTCTGAATAAAAAGTAGAACCGTGTCCAACACCATTGGAAATGAATGTTGAAGTAATTATATGACGAGAAAAGTGAGACCACCGCTATTTGCTCCGCAAACCTATGACGAACAGACAGATATGGTATTCTGGATTGTTTGACCACGAAACTTATATTATAGATAATTATTCAAATATATAATCATTTTAAAATATAAATTCCGTATTCCGAAAATAAAAAAATACATGTCGACATGTTAGTCGCAATCTGGGATGGTCTTGGGAGTTTTTTCGACATTGTGCTATTTGGACTCGATGGGGACCGTAATAGATGTGGTGAAGTTTCATCGTCATGGATAAGTTGGCTGCATTGTGTTTCACATTTTAATCTATTAGGGATTGCACTAAAAGGCTTTTGACAGGAATGGAGTTATGTAATAATATTCTTTGATCATGATACCACATTTATCAAAAGTTTTGATAGTGACGTTCAAATCGAGCATGGTTAATTCGATAGATATGTGTATTTGAAAGAATAGATTTGCGAACACTACGAAGTTCTAATAATCTTGTGCATAAATACATCGATAGGAATAACTGTATTCCTACTGAAGGTATATCGTATTGGCAGGATTGTAGCTCTGATCGAACTTGTTCTTACAATATATTATTACTTTTTCTGCATATTGTGAACGAAAAAATGTGATAGATTGCTGTTTTTTCTCTCTACTCATCATATGATAATAGAAAGAGTTCCTGTCTTCTGATCTGTTTACGAAAGAAATGGGAGGAAAAGTGATGACCAATATTTGCATATATTTTCAGGTACAGATCTCGTTCATTGTATTGAACCATATTCAATTTTATTCTTCACCTGATTTCTCTGAATCTATTATTAACGATGAAACCCAACTCTATGGATTTGGAGACCGTCAATCCTGTCACAACAAAGTTAGGAACGAATGCCTCTTACAGGTTATGTGAGAGAATATCACAATACACAATTGGAACTCAAAAAGAAACTATATTAGATCAAGCAAGTTCATCGGCAACGGCTCGTATCCAAGACAAGCAATCGGATTCTTGCCACCTTGATAGGTTTAGTGCAGTATGGCCTAAATCCGACGTAATTCAATTGAAATCTATCGAAAGCTGTGGTAACCAAGTTGGAGACCACCAGTACACTTCGATAGCTTCCCAGAGGAGTCTATCGAAAAAACCCGTTTACATGGACATTGAACCAAAGAAATTATTGTCGGATGTGCATCTTAAAGTTTTGGACATTTGTCGAGATCACTCGAGAAAACAAGGCGTTCATTCGATAAATGCTATGAAGGCAGCTGGATTCCGATATATTAATGTGAGGAATACAGCTAGATGCGATAGCTGTCAACTCGAAGTATCCGACTGGACGCTCGATATGAAACCATTTTCTATCCATTCAGAACGTAGTCCGAATTGCCCATTTGTTCGTTCAATAAAATCATCGGATCTAGTCCCTCAACTATCTTCGTCATCTGCAATGACCACTGCTCTCAAAATACCTATTGCAAATACCAATGAACAAGAGGAATCTTCCAAACGTCAAAAACTAGAAATATCCAACGATATAGTTCAGATACACACATTTTTCGAAGTTGAGACACTCAAACGAATACGTCGTCGCACTTTTTCGCATTGGCCTCATCGCAAGTCACCATCTCGAGCACAAATGATCGAAGCTGGATTTTTCCACTGTAATGTCGGTGATCGTGTAATATGTTTGTACTGTAATCTCATTTGTCAACAATGGATGCCACAGACAGATGACCCATGGCTAGTGCATAAAACCCTATCATTCAAGTGTCCTTACGTGATGGGTATGTTAGTAGGTCGCGAAACGAAACCTCTAGTGATTGTGAATGAAAATTCTGCTAGCAATCAATCATCAGCGGTAGCAGTTAACGAAGCATTTCGTTCAAATGAAATTGTGCCCATGGCAGCTTGTCACAGCGCATTTATAGACATACCGAAGCGCTATGCGTCATTTTCCAATTGGCCCAATGAAGAACTACCTGCTATCGATGATCTTGTTCGAGCTGGATTCTTCTATACTGGTATAAAGACTATTGTGACGTGTTTTTATTGTAATGGATCGCTCCAGAACTGGGGTTCTAGTGATAATCCAATGATTGAGCATGCAAGATGGTTTCCTCATTGCGCCTATGCCAAGCAACTTTGTGGCGATGATCTTTATCAAAAAATTGAGGAATCAAAACGGTTTGCCCAAGGTATGTGAATATATTATTAGCTTGAACAATTTTTGACAGCGAAAATTTATTTGACTCATGAGTAGTCTTGAATTTTTAGAATGTGGAAATCCAGCAATTTTCTAGCGTCTTTCGATTGTTAGGATTTTTTGAGATCTCTTCAACTCTAAGAGCATGATTCGCTACGAGAATCGTAGGAACGAGAAAGCTACGCAGAATTTAAAAACTTTTAAAAATTCCAGCCATTTCGAGAATTCGAAAAAATGTTAGGATTGTAAGCACGTTAGCAGTGTCAATGGTAGGTATGCTTTCAGTGACATCATTCATGGAATCAGGTATAGCCTTTTGAGCTTGTTTTAGCTAGGTAAATAAACGAAAGCACAACAGGTACTGATAAAATAGCAATTATCTATGAATTGGTAAATGAAAAATTTCATTATGTACGTATTTTGCTTTATTGGCTAGTGGCAAAATGACAATGCACAATGATGTAGTTGAATAAATATCACCGCTGCAGATTTATCAGTAGATTGCTATTTATTTATTTATTTATTTGTTGAAAACTTGCTCAGCTTTCATTTGTCGCTATGTTGACAAATAATAAATGTTTTCTTGTCTATTGATTGATAATTCAGTCAACACTATAATGGTAGAAATCGATTGAAATTAATACATGCTACAAGAGCTGAGTATATCTAGTTTGTTTTGTGCTTACATTAAAGTGCTATCTTCGATCGATTGTATTGAAACAAAAAGTTGATAATGGCCGGCATTTAGAACGAAAATAGTCTTTAAACAAAATTGACTAAAGATGTCAGATAAGAATGATTCTATGTTCATTATTTTGATTCAGTTTTAGACGAGATTTAACTATGCAAAATTGCTATATAAGCGTTCATGTTCTCGAATATATAATGCACGAATTTTTTTTGCTAGAACGTACGCGAGCCAATGATTCGACGAATCACGGAAATTCAAACACTCAAAAGCTACAAATAGCTGATGAGAGCACATTATCACGCTATGTTGCTGCTCGTCTAGATTTACCAAATTCACAAAGACTGCTGGATCAAAATTTTAAATTGTCAGTCATCAAACGATGTTGGGAAGATCAACTGCGATTAAAACGTAAAAATAAATGATCTAGATTTTGCTCTGCAGATTTTTCTATAATTGAAATTGTCATTTCAGAAGACGACTTTGAAACGGATTCGGATCTCCTGATGGCTTGCACTATTCTTCAGAAACAAATTGATTGTATTAACGGTAAAAAAGAGAACCTCATCATACCCAGCGTGCGAATGCAACAAATTCGTGAGCAAGAACAAGCAGGTAGGTTTCGTAAAAAAATTGCTTTGTAACAATATTTGTCATAAAACAATTGTTTAGAAGCAAACACTAGATCATCGTCATCGGTTCTACCTTCTACAACACTACACAATACCGCTACATCGACTGCTTCAAATGTTGAAAGGATACATTCATCGAACACGCCCAATAGTGAATTGAATGCGAAGATACCGGCAAAGCCAACTGTTGAGAAAACAAAAGCAGCAAAGTTAGCCCCTATAATTCCATCTCCAGAGCCGATGCAAACCAGTGCTACAACTTTGACAAATCCTTGTGCTTTGTGCATGAGTGAAGAAAAACGTATTGCGTGTATTCCATGCGGACATTTTGCCACGTGTGTCTCATGTGGCCATTCATTACGATCATGTCCAATATGTCGACGAGAGATAGAAGCATTCGTTCGCATTTACATTTAGCACATTCAGTGAGACTAGGGGTGATACAATTACTTTCTATTTACTTTTAGAAAGAAAAGCCTTTGCTTTCCTTTTTCTAGAAAACTAAAGTTATTGTTTTTCTAACTTTCATTTCCAAAAAGAAAGGAAAGGAAAGTTGCAATCTGACATATTGTGAGAAATTAACAGTACCTGCATTATCGACTACAAGTGCAATGAAACAATCATTGTAATAACAGTAGCTCGAATGCATCCTTGTTTCGTTTCTTTCTGCATTCTTCTCTCTCGTCTCAAGTTACCCTTTTACTGTTGGTGTTTCATGTTTCTTTCACTCTTTATCTAATATTTTCTGTCTTTGCATGTTGTTCCATTGCACCATGCCTAACTCCAAAGGTATTCTCCTTCTTTCTTACAACAAGAAACAAATCATTAGCATTATTTTAGTCCAGATCTCGAAATAGTTTTTTGATATTTGCTAATAAAAGAAAAAAAAACAAATTTTGCAAGGGTGTGGGTGGGGTGGGTGTGGCTGTGGGTGAGTGTGGGCGTGTGAATGTAGGTGTGGATGTGTGTGGGTGTGCGTGTGGGTGTGGGCGGGTGTGGGTGTGGATGTGGGTGTGGGTGTGGATGTGGGTGTGGGTGTGGGTGAAGGAAAGAACCAGAGCCACATCCTACACTCAGACCCAGCCACACTCACACCCACACCCACACCCTATCATCCGTGTGTTTGTTAAGCCAATCAGAGACAACTAAATATCTTCAATGGGCAAGAGAAATGAAAACAATTTTGAGAGTCGGATGTATCATTACGGCTTCTTTTGGAAACGATGCTGCAAAAAGCCAAACAGAAATGAGAACTTTTACTGAGACTGTAAAATAAAAAATACATCATAGAGAATGAAGAAAGATAATCTAGAAATGTTTCTACGATTCATCAACAATATTTCGCTATCTTAAAAATATAGTATTCGATAAGAATACAAACTCAAGCGTTTATTTTTTTTTAATTAAAAAATCAACAACGAATTCATATTGACTTTTATAAAGAATTTAACTCGATTTCGCTATCTGAGCACTGCTCTATAAAATACAAAAATCTACTAGGACTTTATATTGTAAAAATAAAATTGTAGTTATTCTCTACAGCTAATTGTACTATAACCTGAAACCGATTATAGGTCAAAAATAAGTAATATAATAAAAAAAAACAAAAATTCCTAGTTAAGCAATATTTTTTCAAAACTCGACAAAAACAAATAGATGTTGAACAAAATTTTTCATCAAAAGATTATTAGAACAAAAAGAAATGTGGATGAAAATATGACCAATACTATAGCTGCCACAAAGTGCATCTATGGGATTCAATTAACGAAGGAATAAAATCTAACGAAAGACGACAACTATTTAAAAAGACATTTCGATAAAAACAGAATGTCTCAAAATGCAATACTTGATTTTAAATTTACGAAAATTACATGAGAGACAACATAGTTTAGAAAAAATGAAGAACAACTAACAATATTCGCTTGATTTGTGGAAAAAGTGTTAATCCTAACAATCTTCTTTCAGAAAAGGGTGAGCGAATCGTTAGATGAGCGTTACTTGTTATTATTATTAGAAAGAGAAATAAATTTATGAATAAATACGGAGAAACTCTTTTTTTTCTAATTTATAAAATTCGAACTATTTTCTTTAAATATTTCACTTACTTTCAAAGAGAAAATGAAAAATATGTTAATTGTATAAGTAGTTTATCTTTCGTCTTATTACTCTGCTTTTCAATGTATTGAATGATTCACTCAGTGAACATAATCTTTTCCTCTTCTTTTTGCAGTACACAAAGGTAGAAGAGAATATAACATTGTTATTGCATCATACACATGCAATTATTCTATTTATTTGTGAATGCAAAATTTACTTTATCAATTAGAGCTGTGTATTTAGAACGATTTTTGTTTATCGATCTTCGGCATGATGTCAACAAAACGACAACAAAAGACTGTTCAATCTTCTAATATTGTCAAAAGAAAGAAATTATATAGTAAGTTTAACTTAATTTTTGTACTTATAAAATGTTATTCATGTTTTTTTCATGTAATTATTATTAGTTGATTCGAAAAGGTTAGTTAACATAGAATATATCTTTATATGTTTTTTTTTCTTTGAATATTTTTCAGTTCATCTAGAAAGTTTTATACTCATCTTGAAGATCTATCAAATGAAGTCATTTATGAAATATTTGACTATCTTGATATTTATCATATATACGAAGCTTTTTCAAATCCTAACAAACGATTTGATAATTTTCTTGCTTCATCAACATTTCCTATTAAAATTAATATTTCATTAATGTCTAAATCTAATTTTCAACGTTATTATACAAATATTCTTATGCCTAATAAACATCGAATTACTTCAATTTATTTATCAAATCTATTTATTGTTGATCGTGTTTGTTCACCACCTCGTATTATTTTAACATTTGTTCAACTTGAAAGACTTATTCTTGATAATATTCAATTAAAATATCTTCAAAATATTCTCAATCATTTAATTTCTTTATTTAATCTTCATTCATTAACTATAAGTCTTATTGATAAAATTCAAAATAAAAATAATTTTTATCGTTCAATATTTCGTTTACCTACATTAAAATATTGTAAACTATCATTTGAATCATATGTAAGAGCAAAACCATTATTGATATCATCAAATGGATGCAGTTCTATTGAACATCTTATTATTCATAATGAATCAACACTTGATGAATTTCGTATTGTATTATCATATCTACCACAACTTCGTCGTCTTTATTGGAATAAACTATGCAGATTCAATAATAAACAAGATGAATTACGAGAAATTACATTAAAATATTTGAAACATGTTTCTCTTCAATTTAAATATATATATTTTGATCAGTTCGAACCATTGATAATAGATCTTTTTCATCAAGTTGAAGTTTTACGAATTTCTACAAGTTTCGATAGATCTTATTTCGATGCCAATCGATGGGAACGATTAATTTCATCATATATGCCACATTTACGTATATTTGATATTCAACATAATGATAATTCACACGATCAAATGACATGTAATAATCTAAATAATTTATTCATTTCTTCTTTTTGGTTACAACATCAATGGTTTTTTACACATCAATGTTATTCAAGAGGAAATTGGAAACAAATAAATTTCTATTCAACAAATCCATATAGGTAGACAAAAAAAAAAGAAATTTATTCTCTATTGTTTTGTGAAACACGATCAAAAAAAGGATTATTGTTGTATAAGAATAGAAATCCAGTGAATTGCAATAGACTCAGATAAGTTTTCTTAAATTCTGGTAAATTCTAATGAATTTTGATATAGTTCAATGAATATCTATCTAAGACCTATCAAGATCCATCAAGATCTACTTTTTTCTTCTTGTGAGAGAGTGAAATCTATAACTCAATTATTAGAAAAGATGATGTGAGCAACACCTTTCACGATGGATATACATTAACAGAATTACATAATTTACTTTCCACTGATTATTTTTCATGAAATTACTTTATCGAAAACTAAATGATACAATGAGTGACCATTACGACAACCAGCACGTATTCTAACAAAACAACAAAATACAGATGAAACTTACCACAAATATATGTACAAATACCGTAAAAACAAGCAGAGATCATTCCATCCATATCCCTTGCTCTGACCCACATCACAAGCACACGTTATCGACTTATCCAAGGTCATTCGATATCTTCAAACACCGAGGCTCGAACACAGTAGACTGAGAGTATGTGTCAAACAACTTAATCATTTAACCAGAGTAACAGCTAATCAACGGAACGTAAATCGTGCATCCCACATTAACCTTACGTTAGAATTGACAAATTGAAATAGATGTTGCAGAATTTCTTCACTCATAGTAGACACAGATCTATCCTGTTTCACATTTTTTTATTCCCACAGCGATTGAACTAATAGTTTTTTTTTAATTTAAGGAGAAAACATTATACAATATATGACGAAATAGAAAAAGAAAATTGTTTACATAATCAAGAAGCTAATTTAGATTTAGTTGATCATGTTCATATTCAAGGTGAAAAAACAATGTTATCTTGTTTAAATTATTTTCCAAATGCCACTAATCTTACTCTTTCACATAGCTTTAATAAAAGTATTGATGAAACTATAATTAATCTTAATCGAATTCTTCCTTTAATACAACTTACTAAATTATCTATCGATTGTGATGGATTTTCTTTTGATAAAGTTATTGAATTAATACATTTTACACCAAATATTCATACATTAAAAGTTTATTCAATGAATTTATATAAAATAGATTCGATATTATCAATACAAAAAAGTAAAATATTTCTATTAGTATCCAATAGAAATCTAATTAAAAATTTTACTATTGATAATCGATGTACATTTGAACAAGCAAAATTATTAATTAATCTTTGTCATCGATTGGAACATATTAATATCGATATTTTATGGCAAGATTTTGAATCAATTTTGCAATTATTATTAACAAAAAATAATAATAATACTTGTCATTTATGTTCATTACGTTTAAAATACGGATCTAAAAGAATGCGTAAAAAATTGGAAAAATTGATTAAATCAAAGAATTTACTTGATAATTATTCAATAAAGTTAATTCGTTCAAAATTATATTTATGGTGGTAATAACTTTTATTTTATATTATCAAACAAATTTTTTTTTCTTTTTAAAATAAAAGTTATTTTTTTAAATATTATCGATTCTGGGTGTGAGGTGTGGGTGGGTGAGGTGTGGGTGTGTGGGTGTGGGTGTGGGTACGGGTTTGGGTGTGGGTGCGGGTGTGAGTGTGGGTGTGGTATGGGTGTCGTACCTCTCTTTACCCACACCCACACCCAATGTTGAAAATATTATCCGCGATTGAACGCAGGACAATGTTTTGTCCAATCAGGTTGTCGCTACTCTTCTCAATCTTTCTGATGGATTACTTGGTGATACAATGCATCAGCAAATTATTTGTACATTCAATTGTGGCGTCAAAGGTCTTAATTCCGCTCTGTTACGCGGTGGATGATTGATGATTGGTCATTAGTTTGATAAATTGAGTGCAGCCAATGCTCGTCGCTTATGTGTAGAACTGGGTATATCTGACAATGGCGAGGATATTTATGAACCAATTTCATTAGCTGAGATTTATGCACGAAAAAATGCGACAACGGTAGACTCAACAAATGGTCTTGAGAATCAGAGATGAGCACAGGACAGGATGGTCCTGCTGTCCTGTAGGACAGGACGCGATTTTGATTTTTGTCCTGTCCTGCCGCCCGCCAGGACAGAGATTGCCAACAGGACAGGACGTGATTTTGATTTTTGTCCTGTTCTGCCGCCCGCAAGGACAAAGATAGCGATTTGAACAGGACGGAACAGGACAGGACGTGATTTTGATTTTTGCCCTGCCGCCCGCCAGGAGAGAGCTGGCTATCAGGGCAGGGCAGGACAGGGCAGGACAGGGCGAAAAATCTTGTCCTGTGCTCATCTCTGTTGAGAATGGCCATGCAATGATGAAAAACAAACGATCATTGAAGAAACAAAATCAACAACTAGAGTTCTTTTTTGGCTTCTATTCTTAATTAGTTCTACTCGTTGATGTTGAGAAAACAAATATACCATATCAGTTGTCCTTTAATAAATTGATAAAAATAACATTGTTTCTTTAGAAATTAACAATGATCGATTATTCAGATCTATATCCTATTATTATTGAGGCATACATCCTAAGAATGATCTCGTTTGACAAACATCAATGAATGAAAGAATCAAACATTTTCTTCATTCAATTATCCGGTGACAAAATTTGATCTCAAAAGTTCTAGTCGGAACCAACATCATCTTATTGAACTAGGCGGCCCAAATTGAAGAAATATAATTCTATCAAATAGAATTAAATATTCTTTTTCGTAGTTATGATCACAAATGATTGGGGTTTAGTGGCAGATTCTGTTTATAATGGTGAAAAGATAAAAAGCTTGTTTCGGGTCTCAAGAAACGAATTGATATTAATAGTATTGTTAGTGATATTGAGATTTGACAAGAATTGACTGTCAAAATGAATGAATATCTTCCTGTTCAATGGATTTATGGAAATAGTCTTCTCATTTAAAATGTTTTTCAATCAGAAAAGTAAAATTACGTTTGACTATGGAACTATTACAAATCAATGATTAATAATCTGCAATCATTGGATATTAGAGAATGGATTGACAGGTATATGTTCAAAATCGATTATTCAATAACATGCAATCAAATCATAATTGTACTTTTCCAAGTTAGTAAGTTCCATTCATATGATATTCATTCCAAATTTAATCGAAAAAAATTATGAAAAAATTTTAATTATTTGATTGTGGAACTCGTCTTCAGCCACAGCCATAATCCCATTTCGTCATAGAACTAGAAACTATCAGTATGGTTGTGGTAGTCGTAAAAAGAATACATTCATTCACGTATAAACCTCCACACTTATAGTTATCTTCGAAGCTAGACTAAGAGAAATCTGCAAGAACGAGGAAGAGGATGACAGCAAAATGTTTTGATGTGCGTACATACTATACTTTGACAACAAATGCTTCCATTATATGTTTCGATAAAACATAATTATTGTTTTTGGAATACTTAATATCTCATCCGCATAAATCTCAGACATATTTTGCCGTTGACATTTTCTGCGAAATGGAAATTGAAAATCAAATTGCAAAAGAATGATAGCTTGTGTCTGTGATAACATCACTTTTTCTGCGATTTTGTAACAGGTATTGTTGATCTCATCATACAATTTGATATGCTAAGTGATGACTATAGAAGAAAGAGCAATCAGAAGAATTGAAAAAAAAAGCAAATAACAATGTAGCCAACAATTATCTTGCTAACAGTAATAGTGAAGTGAGTTTTACACATTCAACTATTCCTAGAATGATATAATATTGTGACTATTGTTAGTTTATCATGTATATTTTGTACTATTGGAACTTTCGATTCAACACAATCAGTTCATTCATTAGATCAAGAAGGCACTGGTGCAAGCCAAGATGCTCTTCCATACGATAGATGCTCATTCAATCCCATATGTGGATGTCTTCCTCTCGCGAATAGTCAGCGAGAAGGAGGGTGTGGGTGTGGGTGTGGGTGTGGGTGTGGGTGTGAGTGTGGGTGTGGGTGTGAGTGTGGATGTGGGTGTGAGCGTGGGTGTGAGTGTGGATGTGAATAAAGGGATCCGACACCCACACCCTTTGTACGAAACCTCTGTTACGAAACCTTTATTCCAGCTTTCCAAAAATGGTTTGTTACGAAATCTCGTTTTTTACGAAACCAAAATGTATCTTACCGTGTACCGAGGATAAGATCCTTTTTAGGTTCGGTAAAAAACCTTTTTTTTTAGAGTGTACCCTCCTTGTTGTTATCAATTGTTGTTTTAGGCTGACCCCTACTCCCTTAAAATGGATAATGTAATACTTGAAGAGTCCCAAATGAAAAACAATTATAATAAAATCACTTATTTTGTGAAACTCACTTATATTTTCGAAGAAAATAGTAATTGTATGTTGTATGTTTGAGGTTTGGCGGCTTCCCCTCGCCTCTCCCTATCCCGTTACAGACACATAGCAACCGGAAAGAGAACATTACAAATATACCCCAATTACAGACATACCCCCCATTACAGACACTCCACCATCACAGACAATCCACCATTATAGACCTCAGCAACCGCGCATAAAAGGCTCTAGTTTTTATAGAATATATCAATTATTTCATACGTATTCGAAAAAAAGGGTATTTTACAATTTAAAAATTAGGCATCAGGATAAAAAACTTTGAAAATATACGTGTGTTACACATTTTAGCTTTTTTGGAGCTGCATTAACAAGCTTCATTTTACTGATTAGTTGTGTGTGAAAAAGTTTAAAAAATTTTTAAAAGATGTCTCTAAAGATCTGAGTATATTTAAAAAATCAAGGTTATACAAAGGCGGGGAAACCGCAAAATTTCGTCATGCACCGTCACCGCCCCGCTGGCGGGGTGGTATTACACCGCGGCTCGTCCACTCTGTTGTGGATATCGATCTTCTCTTCACCCATACCATAAAGGAATATCTCGCGTGACAAGTTTATTAGAGAGTAAATATATAGCGATAAGAACGAGTATGATTAGTACATGTGTTAGAAGGGTACGTGTCAGATTTTAAAAGGAAGATAATACATCAAGGTCTTAAAAAGTATGCAATTATTAATTAGTATTCTGTTGATTTCACCAGTAATTATTGATATATTGTGAAAGACGCTTTGTTATAAAAGAGTACATGAACGCATACCACAACATTTGTATGGGTACTGATTTTCATAGACTTGTCTTTCATCTTCACCGTAGAGGCAAAATGTAAATATTTCGTCTATACAGAAAAATAAATCAAACAATTGGAAAAATTTCTCAGAGAAATGATGTTACCTGAATTTTGGTTCAATGTATAATCGATTTCTCTTAGATGAAGACATTCAATAACACAACGCAATCGAATAATTTCAGCTGATTTATCCTTCTGTTCTCTGTGATAGTTTTCATGAATATTGGTCCGCAAATCTTCAGGCAACCCAACACAGGTATTAAGTATGTCGTCAATCGATTGTGTCGAGGACCAGGTATCGTCGAATTCTAAACAGGTGACTTTTTTCGATGACTTCGCTATTTCTGAAGCTGGAAGAATACTGCTGTTGCCACGATCTCGACTGATCATTGATTCATGATTTTCCCATTTGACATGCAATTGCATCCAAACGGGAATAAAGCGAAAACCTTTGCAATCAGGACACGGAACAGTGCCATCATTGAGACAATCCGAACAATTAATTCTTCCATTTCCCAAGCACTCAACACACTTATAAAAACCTGCACCCTTGCACTTCAAACAGGCTTCACCATGACAACACCCAATTACACCTCCTTGACACTTTTTACAATCGTAACTGCCAAAACCCAAGCACTTTGAACATTGAATGCGTCCAATAGACTTACATTTCGAACATGGCTCTCGACGTTGTGTCTCTTTCAGGTCGCGAACAACTTCTTGAGATCCTTCTTTATCGAGTATAGTTTTAGTCGGTCGATCGACCTGATAATCATTCCAAATGTTACCCAATGGACGTTGAGGTAAAAATTCATCACCATGATATGGAGCTCTTGCTTCGGATGTCCAACGACTTTCTTTAAGCGTCCACAATTGTGCCGCATAGCCTGACATTTCTCGTTCATTGACAATTTGAGCTCTGTCCAATGGACGAAGATTGAAACAACAACTGCATGTCTCGCTATTCAAATGTGTTCGAAGTTTTGTGAGTGGATTCGAATCAGGTTTTGACAATAATACATTTTTAGCTAATATAGGCTTTTCTTCAGACATTACAGTCGTGTTTTTAATAGGAATCTAGAAGAACATATTTCTCTAAAATGGATCTTCATAAGTAAAATTACAGAAACATTCCAAGTTAAATAAAATATTGAAAGTAGGTGGAATGAATCTTTTTTTTCTGTTGATTAAGTCAAACTAGCAGGAAAAACGAAGGAGAAAATACTACCCAGTATCCAACGCACGACTTCTTTTCATCTGCTGTTAGTGAGAATCTCTGTCATGTCTGAATATTCTTTGAATCACTTGTAGTACTACAAAACTACAGATCTTGGAGTCAAGTGGATCGAACAATGCTAGCTTTCCTGCGTCTAATATCTATTTCAGAGTTGAATGGATGCGGGCATTTTTTGTATAACTTTAAAACAAAAAGATTGAAGTAACTCGAATTTTAAACACTATCTAGAGTCGACGTTGCTCTATCTTTTCATAAAAACGATGAAAAACTCCAATCGTTTTTCTCCTTGAATACATCATGAGCTGAATTCACTTTGAAAACAATATACTTTTTCAATTATAATATAATGGACAGATAGCCTAACTTCTCCTCTATCGATCTACGCAAGATCGAAATCGATAACTGTTTGCGTTCAAAAGATATAAAGATTTGATTGAAGGCTACTCATCAAATTTTTTCAAAATCTTAGCAACTAAAAAATATTTTCTTATATAAGTTTCTAGTCGCCTCCGACTTCGTCATATCACTTATTAACCTTCAGAATTTTTTCTATTAGAAACAACGTTATCAAAAATCATACACTGAATTTATTTTGATGATAATGATTCAATATCTTCAGGAAGTTTTTGTCCATCTTTATTTTTGTTAAGTAAACTTCGCGTTTCTATCACGTATATTTATTTTCATGTTGGCTCAGACTAACTCTATATGATTCAGGGTACAGTGTCTCATTGGTAAACGGATGTGAATGTGATGATGGTTGAAGAAAAAACCAACATTCACACTAACACTTACATTCATACCTAGACCCAATAGCCACACACCAACATCCAATGTATGGATTTTTTGTGACGTTTCTAATAAAAACTTATAGAAGAAAATATTTCTCAGCTACTGAGATTTTGAAAAAATTTGGTGAGTAGCCTTCAGTAAAATCTTTATATCTTTTGAATGCAAACAGTCAACGATTTCGACCTTGCGTAGATCGATAGAGGAGAAGTTGGCCTATCTGTTCATTATATTGTAGTTGGGAAAGTATATTGTTTTCAAAGTTCATGATGTATTCAAGGAGAAAAACGATTGGTGTTTTTCATCGATTTTATGAAAAGATAGAGTAACATCGGCTCTAGAGAGTATTTTAAAGGTATTCAAAAAATGCCCATGGCCATTTAACTCTAAAATTGACATTAGGCACAATATATGCTCAAAAATTTTAATTATCTGGAGACCTTTCTCTGCCTAGATATGTTCAGTTTTTGCTAATCTTTAAACTTCACCTCGCTTTTCTTGGACGTTCTTTATCGATGGCTCCTTATACAGGGTGTCCACAAAGTAACAAAATAAAGAAAAGTTTGAATAGATATCTCCGCCATATTTTGATCAAATGGGCTGATATTTTTACCACTGATAAGAAAGCATGCATAGGTCATATTCATAAGGCAAACATTGTAAAAAATTGTTTTGAATTAGTACAACTAACTTCAACAAAAAAACCTATAACCTTTCACGAGTTATGAAAAACCAATATTGCAATTTTATTAATGGCTGAAACTTTTAGAATACATTGAGTAACAAGACATGTATCTATAGTGTAAGCATGAGATTAAACGACACTAGTATGAAGAAGTAATCGAAAAAATTACTTGTCGTTTATTCTTGGCTAAGGGAATAAATATATTGATTTTTTTCATAACTCAGAAAATATTACAATTTCTTGTTGAAGTCACTTGTATTACTTCAAAATAATTTTTAGCAACGTTTTCATATCAAACCGTCGAAAAAAAATGTCTAAAAGTCTAACACGCAAGATTGGTATCGTTAGAAAGTGCGCAAAAAACTGAGTATTACCCTAGAATATAAGCGCGGGATATAATGTAGTCCTAAGAAAAAAATTTTCAAACAAAATTCCCTGTAAGAAGAACTTTTTTGTTCTTTCTTTAGTTTTTTTCTTTCGTTCTGTCATTCGCGATGACATATATATATACACTTACGACGGAATGAAAAGAAACTGTGCGTAAACATATATTGAGAATAGTGTATAACATTCTTCACGATGATAATTTATAATTAAAAGATGATTTAAAGATTTAATTATATAATAAAAATTCTATAAATTCTGAGTGTTAAAATTAGTTTTGAAATTTAACAATTTATTAGACGATTAAAATATTCTCTGCCATCTAAAACGTTCTTTTGCTTAATTCATATTCAAAAATCTTTTTTTTTATTTCTTTTTCTTGAAAATCGCATAAGTGTATGACACTTAATTCAATCAGGTAGAAGAAGCTTCATTTTTTCAAGTTGAATTAATCCGTTTGCTGTCTACCATATGCATAAAATTTGATGAAAAAGAATTATGCTCTCGGTGAATAAAAATAGCATATTCGAATTCAGCGTGGTCAATTACCACCGCTCACATTGAGATCTCCAAAGTTTAATTCCATTGCAATGGAATTAAACTTAAATAAGAAAACAAGAACGGCATTCGAGACAGAACAGAGAAGAATAATTCACATATAGGCGAATGACTAAAGAGCGTGGAATAACGCGATGCTGGTTTGAATCCAGCGCGAAACAGTTATTTGTTTCTGTTCTGTACATGTTTTTCCATTGAATTTTGTTAAAATATTTTTGATTAATGCTTAGAATTACCCTTTGGAGATCTCAATGTGAGCGGTGGTAATTGACCACGCTGAATTCGAATATGCTATTTTTATTCACCGAGAACATAGTTCTTTTTCATCAAATTTTATGTATATGATAGACAGTAAACGGATTAATTCAACTTGAAAAAATGAAGCTCCTTCTACCTGATTGAATTAAGTGTCATACACTTATGCGATTTTCAAGAAAAAGAAATAAAAAAAAAGATTTTTGAATATGAATTAAGCAAAAGAACGTTTTAGATGGCAGAGAATATTTTAATCGTCTAATAAATTGTTAAATTTCAAAACTAATTTTAACACTCAGAATTTATAGAGTTTTTATTATATAATTAAATCTTTAAATCATCTTTTAATTATAAATTATCATCGTGGAGAATGTTATACACTATTCTCAATATATGTTTACGAAGTTTTCTTTTCATTCCGTCGTAAGCGTATATATGGAATTTTGTTTGAAAAAATTTCGCTTAGGACTACACTATACTCCGCGCTCATATTCTAGGGTAATACTCAGTTTTTTGCGCACTTTCTAACGATACCAATCTTGCGTGTTAGACTTTTAGAAATTTTTTTTTGATGGTTTAATATGCCCTATGCATATTTCCTTATCAGGGGTCAAAATATGGCGAAGATATCTATTCAAACTTTTCTTTGTTTTGTTACTTTCTGGACATCCTGTGTATGTGTGTGCCTTTTAAAAGAGAAAAGGAAAATGAAATGGCCACCGTCGGATGATATTTTCTTTAAAGAAAAAGAATTGAGTGCATTTGAAAAAGAAACTCTTCTTTTAGTTTATCTATTTGTCTTCAAGTTCACTTTGTTCACTGTTTCTTGGTGATATTAAAAGAAAAAAACAATGACAATCATCATTATATATATTTTCTTGTAAATAAATAATTCACATGCTTATCATATAAACACGTATAAGCAACCAATAATTTTTAACAAAAAAAACGAAATAAAAAATATTTAAAAAAAATGATTCATCACAAATTGTACAAAATCGGTTAATAAGAAAATTCTGACCAAAAATGAAAAAAGATCAGTGAATAAATCAAAACTATCACACATTAACTCCATAATATTAATAATCATGCAATAAATTTGTTTCAAATTCAATTTCTGGAAAAAAGAATAAACACAGCACACATTCGAAAAGATTAAAATGCAAAAGAATTTTTAACATGCATTATGAATTAACTCTTACTGTCAATATAACGACGTGCCACAAATTTTAATATTTCATCAAATAATACAATAGAAAAAGAAATTTTTAATACAGCCATCCATTCTTCTAATGTTAAAGAACAGATATTTTTTTATTTGAAAAATATTCATTTAAATAATAACCTGTTAAGTGCATTTAACATTTCAATAGTAACGAGTACTGATAGAGCCATTGTCATTGGATGAGGATCATCGAAAACATCACAATCGATATCTTTCCATTCTTTACCATCTCCATGACATTGAAAATGATATTTCTAAATATATATAAATAAATAATTACATAAGTATAAATTAATCGAATCAATTTCATACATAACATATTATGCAAACAAAAATAACACATATATAAACATAAGAAACAAACGATATGAATATATCATTGCATATGCTTCTGTTTATTTGCTCATCAGCTGTGATCATGTTAATAATGGTTCATCATACTATGAAACGTACCACTTAATTCATTCAATAATTAAAATTCTTATCAATAGTAGCTGCTCCTACGTATGGTACAATAAGGAAGATAATTAGTTAAATCTAATACAAAATAATTACTAATAAGAATGTTGTTAGTGCAATTTCTGACAAGATTAAAATGTAAAACAATATGTCACTCCTGTTGCTAATCACAAGGAGATTACTTGATTCTATCTATTTCGGGCTATATTGTTTCATCATCTTTTTACTTAAGCCTTCAGCAATGCGATAAGGTTGTGTAGTTCATATTTTTTTAATGAGACATTATTCATATACAGTTTATGATCGTATACCAAGAGCTGTCACAGTCTGTTGGAGAGGGAGGCGTTCCCCTTTTTACTCCTACTCTTCAACATTGCATTTAGATCGTCTTTCACAAAAGGTCATGATCATAAGTCGGATCCTATCGAATATCATGAAATAACATGAATCGTATTTAGGCTTTATCTTATCGATCAAATTTGGATAAATAAGTTATTTAATGATTCTTTTGGATTACGTAGTGGACGTACCATAATATCCAAATCAGGTGGATTAAACCCAAGTACTGTTGCTGGTAAAACCGTCAGTTACTAAATTAATCCAAAGTAATTGAACAGGAATCAATGATTTTAGGAAACCAAGAGCAGCAGTCAAAAAAGTGCAAACGATCTAAGTTCATTTTTCATTCATTAAAATTACCTCTCCAATATTTGATGAAGTTAAATAGCGAATAAATTGTTTCATATTATTATAAATGGTTCAACCTTCTTCAACAGCAGCAATAATTGAAGAAAAATTATCATCAACTAAAACGATTTTAGCTTTTTACCATGCAAGTGCATCATTAACACCATCATCTGTCATAGCTGTTATGTCACTATGTATTGTAAATATTCAACAATTTTTGATTTATGTGCTGGATCAACACGAGTAAACATTTTAGCATGACGAAAAACTTCAGATTGCTCTTCGATTGAAAGATTATCAAATTCTCGACTACTAAATGCTTGATTTATATATATCAAAAGAATTCGAAAAGAAAAAAAAATTCATTTATCACAAAACATAATCATTAGCTCGTGTATCTTTAAAAATACCAATACGTCGACATATAGCTTCAGCTGTGTGTTTATTATCACTAGTAATCATAATAACACGAATATCAGCATCATGACATCGTGAAATAGCATCAGTAACCTCTGAACGCAGTAGATCAAGCATACCAACAAATGTTATATTATTCTATCCTTTTGAATTATAATCAATTATGAAATGTATCTTACTTCATATGTAATAAATTTTCGTGAATCTTCTAAATCTATTTCTTCTCTTTTTAATGGATTATCAATAGTTTCTAATGCTAAACAATGTAATGTATCTCGACCTGTTCCATATTGATGAACTAATTTCATTATTTCTTGTTTATTTTGTGCAATCATTGGAACTTTTTGTGCTTCAATTCGCATATGTGTACTTCGTTCAACAATAGATTCTGGAGCATCTTTAGCAGTAACAACATATGCCGACATTGATTTTCGATCACGTGTAAATTCTATACGATATTTTTGACGAATAATTGTATTTGATGATATAGACATTTTTTGTAGTGATAAACGTGATTTATCTATATTGAAAACATTCATTTTTTCAATAAGAAGGCAGTTTCTGTTGCTGCACGAACTTTTTCAAAACTCTTTATCAAACAGAGAAAAAAAGTAAAAGACAAACTTCATTATAATCTAATGCTGAAAGCAGCACATTCAACTAATTCGCTACGATCAGAACAATTAAATTTTGTTCTATTAAACATTATATCATCTTTTGGTTCATAAATTGAACCAATTACTTCAAATTGATCGATTTGTATATCATTAACTTCAGCTTTACCGAAATAAATATAATAAACTTATAACTGCAAAACTATTTCTCTTCGAAAAAAACACAAAGCATACTCGACAAACAGACGTTTGATTAGTTCTTAATATTCCTGTTTTATCCGAACAAATAAATGATGTACAACCAAGTGTTTCAACTGATGATAAAGAATGTACACTTTTTTGCCATTCGGCGTGTTTGTAATGCAAGGCAAATTGTCATAACAGCTGGTAAATCTTCAGGAATGACAGTCACACAGCTATAACAAAAAACAAAATAAATCATTAAGATATTTAAACAATAAAATAAAATAATCAAAGCAAGTGCAACAGCAATTTTAAAATAATAGATAGTATCATGTAACCATGAACCATCATGTACAGGAGCATTAAAATGACCAATATTGATAGGTCATACAGTAACGCAAATAATAGAAATAACCTTCATAGAAAAATAAGAAAACATATGTAGTTTTATTTCTCAATTAGAACATATGGTTTTGATAATTGTTTGCCAAATTCATCTAATATCTGTTATAATGGTGTTTTTTCTTCTCCTGCTTCAGCCATCTCTGATCGAATCTTATATCATTATTAATAAGAGATTAAACATGTTTATCATTGACTCGTAATAAGTCTAGTGAGGAAAGGCTGCCAACTGATTAATTGTTTTTCGGTCGAGACCATATGCTTTATGTAGAACCTAATGGGCTATGAGTACACTGACAAGACTCTTAACTTATTACTGCTGAGATAATGCATTTTTATGGTATTTTCTTAGTTAATGCCATGACTCACTGCAGAAATATTAGGAAAACATATTTTTGAATTTCGACTTGCAACTTCTCACAGACACTGAGCTCGCCCATAATAGCTTATTATGAAAGTTTTAGAGATCCGAACTCTTTTCAGGATGTTCATAGCTCATTAGAGTCTACATCATGCATATAGTTCGAAATAAATTCCGTCATAATTTTATCATTTTCGTAGTTTTCTTAACGATTTCAGTATTTAAACCAGTTCCAATAACAACACCTCGGCATTTAATTACTGCAATATTTGCTCCCTAGAATTTAATTTCATATTAATTATAGTAAAATTTGCAAGTTTATTATCATACAGAAAAAAGAATATTCTTTTTATCTTGATTAACGGCACGTGGATCGAATAAATTATTGTTATACGTATATCAGCTGGAACTTTATCTTCAACAGCTACTTCAACAATATCTCCTGGTACAAGATCACGAGCTTTAATTCATTGTATTTGCACTGATCGATTTTGTCGAACAATTTTAGCCATTTCAGGCTCATATTCTTTTAATGGTTCAATAGGACTTTCTGAATTTCGTTCCTAGTTTATTGTGGCTTATATATAGAATAACAAAGTAAAATAAAATTGAATGTTTACTTGTCATATACCGACAGCTGCATTTGCAATAAGCATAAGAAGAATAGCAAGTAGTTCAACAAAAGCTGCCACAAGACTATCTTCTTCTTTATGTTCTTCGAATAAGGCTAAGACCTATTAGAGAACGAATATCGAATAACAAAAAAAAATTTGATCTGATAAAATAAACTTACGAATGATATACAAGCAGCAGCAAGTAAAATTTTGACTAAGAGATCATCGAATTGTTCTAAGAGAAGTTTCCAAATTGGTTTACCCTCTTCGGCTAGTAATTCTAGAAGACATCAAAATATAAAAATGTTTTGTATATATGTATAGAATTTCTCATATGTTTTACCATTAGGTCCATATTTTTCTAGTTAACACGTTCTTCAGAGAGACCATTTGTCTCTTCCACATTATAAAAGGCGACAACATCTTCTTTAGTTTTAGTCATAGATAATCAATAACCATCATTGATACGAACGCACAATGAGCCATGGATAGTCAATGTATGGCGGTCTAAAATAAGATGAATACTCATCGTTTATTTGACTTATTTGATGGAATAGTTTTTTTTTTTTCATGTCAAAGACTAGGCTATACATCCAATCACGAAAAGTGTAAAAAGTATTCTTAGAAGTCACTAGAGGATAGTTGATCGAATTTTCATTTTTTTTTTGTGGATTCAAGGTCTTTATTTAATAATAACCAAAACAAAACATACAGTAAAAGGCTGAGATACAAGGAGTGACACATAGCCATTGTCTTATGTCTCA